TGAAGGGAGCAGAGAAATTCTGCACCCTTTCTTCATATCTTGCCTTATGTATCTCTTCTATCTGGCTGTTCCTTAGTTATATCCTTTTATAACAAACCAGTAATCTAGTGCACAAAATGTTTCTCTGAGCTGCTCTAGCATATTAATCAAACCCAAGGAGGAGGTAACCTTTAATTTGCAGCTCGTTGGTCAATAGCACAGGTAACAAGTGGGCTTAGGACTGGCACCTAAAATGTGTGTGCAGGCAGTCTTGTAGGAATGACCCCTTAACCTGTGCAACTGGATGCTATTTCTGGGTAGATGGTGTCAGAATTGAGTAGAATTCTTAGACACTCTGCTGATGTCAAAGAATTGCTTGGTGTTGAGTAGAAAGACCCCCCACCCCCACTTGACACATTGGAATTGGGCCTAGGAACCCAAACGAATAACAATTTTATTGTGTACAGAATGCTCCTGTCCATCCCTTTTCATTTCTCACAACTCTCAATTTTCAGTAATATACTCCAAACCATGAGCACCTGATGCAGGCTGAGCCAGACAAAGCTGCTCATCCTTTTGAGCATGGCTCCTGGTCCAGGGATGGGCATAAGACTCAAGCCAGGCCAGACAATGCCCTCTTCTGGATTTGTCAAGATACAAATAGGAGAGACACCCTTTGCCTCTTGGGGTAAGAAGGGGATAGAAGTGGGCCCTGGCTATATAGCTTAGTTAGAGTGTTGTCCTGATATGCCAACGTTGTGGGTTTGATCCTTGTTCAGGGAACATATGTACAAGAATTAACCACTGAATATATAAATAAGAGGAACAACAAATCTCTCTCTCTCTTTCTCTCTCTCCATTAAAAAAAGAGAAGGGGATGGATGTGGTCTGCAGTAGAAAAAAGTGGAGCTGGGCAAGAACAAGGACAGATGGAGGGACTAATGCAGAGACTCCTGGCAGTGGCTGGTCCTAGCTTCTAGAAGGAAGCTCTTCCTTTGGTTTAGTGGTTCAGCAAATTGCCCTAGACCTTTCCAGTAAATTTTGTATTTGACTGTTTACAGGTGGATTTTGGGTTTTCTAACTCTGGAAGCTCAAAGTTCTAACAGATAAATGGAATAATGCAATATGATTTCTTTTCTCATTCCCATCAGGGGCAATTGCAGACTTTTGCTTCTCTCTTCAAACTCTTTATTAATAATTAACTTCCTTCTAGTAGCTTGGTCTTCTGTTTCACTAAGAAGTGAAATTATCAATTATTTAATAAATTATTTTTTTTCTCTACAAAAGTTATTGCAGGAGTACTGGTATGTATTCTCTCCTCTCATTCCTGAGAATGAAGAGTTGTTTTCTTCTAGCTCAAGGCCTGTCTCTCCACTCCCATTCTAGAGCTCAATACTTTGAAGAACCAATGAGAAAATAGGCCTTACCCATTACCATACACTCCACAAAATAAAGATAAGAAGCAGAATGTTCTCAGGCCTCAGAACCTTATCTATACCATCAAAGATATGAATGGACTCTGAACAAGAATATTTACAAAGTCCTAGAATTTTCTTTTCTTTTCTTTTCTTTTCTTTTCTTTTCTTTTCTTCTCTCTCTCTCTCTCCCCCCTTCCTCCCTCCCTCCCTTCTCCCCTCTTTCCGTCTCTTTCTTTTCCTTCCTTCCTTCCTTCTTTCCTTCCTTCCTTCCTTCCTTCCTTCCTTCCTTCCTTCCTTCCTTCCTTCCTTCCTTCTTTCCTCCCTCCCTCCCTCCCTCTTTCTTTCTTTCTTTCTTTCTTTCTTTCTTTCTTTCTTTCTTTCTTTCTTTCTTTCTTTCTTTCTTTCTTTTTCTTTCTCTCTCTCTCTCTCTTTCTTTCTTTCTTTCTTTCTTTCTTTCTTTCTTTCTTTCTTTCTTTCTTTCCTTCTGTCTTCCTTCCTTCCTTCCTTCCTTCCTTCCTTCCTTCCTTCCTTTCTTCCTTTCTTTCTTTTATTTATACCACTAAACCTGTTGTGATAGCCTCATCATTTCCCTCTTCTGACTAGATGTAGGAAAAAAATGGCCGCTGAGGAAAAACGGTTGAAAAGTGGAAGTGAGTAATTGGAATGTTCTCTATCTGATGGAAGTAAAGGCATTAAGGTCTACCCTTATTTTCTGTGAGTCAGAAGAAGAGAAACGCAAAAGCTGTGGCGTGACTGCCCATGGGGTCCTTCTGCCTTTGACCCATGCTTGAAGCTGGAGCGAGACTGCAGGTGCGGTGGTGCAGGAAGTAGCTTTAATTCAGGAGGGTGTAGGCTGGGTCTCTGCATTCATCTTCAGATACTGGAGCATGAAAGAACCTTGAATGGGGCCCAAAATTTATAGCTAGCTGTGTAGGGGCTACTGATCTGATGAAACTTGGGACTGAATGTTAAGAGGGCTCTTTGAATAGAGTAGATACACAGTCACAGTTTCACGCATACTCTGTGGGTGAAAATAAGGACAACACAATCAATGGAGGGTGAGCTGGAGTAAGAAGGTTGTGGTTGTCAGCCTGTTGGCTGGAGTACAAAGATTCTGTGTGATTTTGAAATAGCATCAAAAACCCGGAAGAGAAGCAGTGAGTTTGGAACTTTCTTGACAGAGAGCTTCCATTTTCTTCTTTGATGCCTGACAAGAGGATGAAGGGACAGCTTCTAATAGTGCACCTGTTTATAATTGAAGGCATTGGTGAATCAGCCTGACTGAGTTCATTCCACTTTTAGTCTGCCAGCTGTAGAGAAGTAGTGTTTGCAATTTTTTTTCCCATCAGATAGGCTTCCATTGGTTATCTATTATTTTCTGGTCAGATTGTACAGATTCTACAGCTGTCTTTGTCCCCTGTAGCAGTTTCTGTTTCAAAGTGTTTTGTGTACTTTCTTCCTTTTTTGAGGCTTCTACTGGCTAAAACTTCCTGAATCTTTACTCCCATTACTGCACCAAAGCATTGGTCTATGGGGAGTTATGAAAATAGTAGGGCCAAAGCAGCATCGCTTCTTGTGGTATTTTACCATGAAGAAGAAGGTAGCTTCATATGGACCATGAGGAAGACGGTAGCTTCCCTGTCCCTCTTGCTGTGGTTCACCATTCCCATTAAGTTTTACAACATCAGTTTAGTTATTTCAAACTCTAGCCACCCCCCTCTCCCACCCCGAGGACTGGCTCTAGGTATTTATACCTCAGTCATCTCAAATACATCTCTTGGTAATGTAATCTTATTTCTCCAATTCTTAGTGCATTTTATCTCAAGCAGAGCACGAGATTCAAAAGAGCACAGGTATGGATGAAATGAAGGATAGGTATGGTCAAGATAAGAGTGAGAATTAGAACCATAGAATTTCAATATGTAAAAATTCAGAAAAGGAGTTGTTACCAGGAATGACAGGGTCTAAGGAGGGGCCATGGATGCAAGTTGATGGTCTTGAGTTTCCTGGTAGATTTCAGCTCCGTCAGTTATCAGCTTAGATATCCTTTCCCAAAAGAAGATTTCCCTGGCTGGGTTCACCCTCCTTGCAATTCCCCTTCATATTATAATGTCTCATTAGTCATAGTGCTTTTTCTTTATAGCCTTTTCATATATGTTGTTAAACAATTATTTGTATACATATGAGTACACATATGACATATAATTGTTTAACATATATGTATATGTGTGTGTATACACATATATGTGTAGTATTTCACCATCAGCTAAATGGTAAGCCCCACAAGCTCAGAGACAGTGTCTGTCTTGCTCACTGATTCATTCCCAGCCCATGGCACAGTGCTTACAAGCAATGGTGTAGAGCAGATGCTTAGTAAATGCTCACTGATGGTGTATTATACACTACACTCAGTAAATCACAAATTTTACCTCAGAAAAATTCATATCTTATGAGAACTTGTCATTTCCATCTTCCCTTGTTTCTTTGTCTTGTGTGACTCACAGTATAACCATTACAAATGAAAAGAGAATAAGCACATACATTAGGGATTGCAAGGATAAGATAGATTTGGGATTAAACTTCAGACTACACCAAGCAATGAATTAAGAGAGATTCCGAAATGGTGGGAGGGCAGATGCAGGAAGGAAAATGGTACAAGCAGATCAGCCAATTGGCTGAGGCACTCTCTGACCCCTGAGCACCAGCCGGCTTTCAGGCTGGGCTGCTGGCCCTGGCAAATGCACAGAGAGGAGAAGGGCTCGTCTTAAATACCCTGTAGACTATAGCCCTCATTATCCCTGAGAAGGAGAATTTAGCTGCAAGTCACATGTGTGGGCTGGACAGAGTGGTCTTAAGGGCTAAGAAAGATCCTGAGGAGGGAGAGTTAGATATTGTCAAAGCCCCATGTTATTCTGAACCCCTCTGCATTAGGTCCCCAGTCTCCAGATCATTATGAGAAGTGGAGAAAGACCAATAATAACACCTCCCCCACTTGCTGCTTCCCACCTCACCCCCTCCACATTCACCTGTGAATTCCTTTGCTGCTGCTCCTCATTTTCTGCTGGCCTGATAATTATTCTCATATTTCAAATCTTCTTGTGGTTCTCTGCTTCAGCCATGAGCTCACAGGGAAGGACGATGCTTGATTAAAACAAAGACATCATCTCACGGGCCAAAGGGCAACTGATTGCAGCACCCTGATCCTGAAAGACCTGAGAGTCTGCAGTGATCAGCCAGGATTGTTGGTGGAGGGAGAGCCACTCATGCTTTTTGATGCAATTTTTCTATCCCAGCTGTGATCATGGGGGCCTGGTTCTCAGGGATCTAAGGAAACGTGATGTCAACAGGCTGTGTTGCTCATATAAGGAAATATTGAAAATTCAGACTCTAATTGGTGTTTGAGCTTCAGGAGGTGGCAGATGAAATTTCTGACAACATCTGAAATGGTAAAAGCTGTCTCTATCGGCTCTCAGTACGGAGGATGTCAGTGTATGTGTTTGTGTATTTCCCTCCCATTGTGGAAGACCTTTGTTGGTATCCTGATGCCTTTTCACAGGATTATTTTGCAGCGAGGACTGTGTCGTTGATGACATAGGAGTCAGGATGGCTTTGAATAGACATCTGTCTCTTCAGAGTTTTTGTTTTCTCCTCTTCAGCTCTGTGGTGGATTCTCGAGGTAAGAGTTGCCTCTATTTCCTGGGGTCAACAGTGAGTGGACACTTTGGCAGAGGAATAGGTCCCAGGGGTTATGGAGCCAAAGTCTCAGTGTAGACTATGTTTTTGACCAAAACAGAACCACAGTAATTCTGAATATTGGTTCTTCTGGAGTTTCAACTGGTCACAGTGGCAGTTTTTTTTTAAACTTTTTAAAAGAAATTATATTTGAATGCAGGCTGAGGTGAGTTGATTTTAGTCCTCTACTATGTCTCCTTGTTTTTAAAAAGCATCTGTTTTGTCCCAGTGGCTCCCAGTGTGTGGCAAGGACTAGCGATTGATCTCAGCTGGGTCTCTGGGCTGTTCCTCGCACAATCCATTTGCCTGATTTGTAGAGGACTGCCTAATGAGATTTCTATGTTTTATGTATTTATGCTCAATTAGGCTGTGTGTGTCCTGGATGTGACGGATGTGTGAGGAGCGTGGGAAGGCTGTCTGTGTGAGAAGAACAGGGCTGCTGAGAAGCTACTGAGTCAGCTGGTCTGTGGAATACACAGTGCCGACACTGTTGGGGTGTCATGTAAACTGTATGTAACCAGATAATAGATAATCTTGCACCTGCTTGCTTCACTCTGGCTGCTCTCCTTCAATCGCACAGCCTCCTCTCTGCTTGACTGCAGAGTTTGCCTAGCACTGGGCTCTGTGAGCAGCTTTGCCTTCCGGCTCACCTAGTCCTACCATGTGTCTGCTGTAGAGAAGAGGAATCTGCAGCCATGAGAGGGGACCTCCTGTTTATAGAGCTTAACGAATACACAACATCTTTTATACAAAGTTTCTTGAGTTCCTGCCCCAGTTCTTGTGAATTGTTCCCTGGCTTGCTGAGGTCTTGAACTGCTGCTTTCCACTCCCTAAGATCTTCTGTGAATTCTGTAAGATGCATTTTCTTTCCTATGAGTTTTTTTTGTCCCTCCCTGCAAACTGGCTTCCACTGAGCCAGAGGACTGCAGGCATCGAGGATAGGGCTGCAGAAAACCTAGCCTTCAGTCTGGAGGAGGCAGCTCCTCCAGAAGCATTGGACTGCTTCCCCATATTTTTCTGCTTGAATTTGTCTCTTCTAAGAAGCCCTCAGTATATTGGTCTTTTTGGTTGATCCTTCATTTTCTGGGCCTTTCTCCTTTACTCTTTTGTACTCTCTGCTCCCTCATTCCATTCTCCCAAAATCTTCTGCAGAGCCTGCTGGAATTTGGAGCCCATCACCTGCAAACTCTCTTATACCCTCAATGGACCCTTCACTTGTATGTTCAGATCAAAGTCTGACTTTTCCGTGAAAATATTGATTTTCCTATCAATTGGAGGCTGTGTGTTTCTCTTTCAACATACTTTTCTTGTGCTGAGACTTGGATTAGCGTGCTCCTTGCTCTCGGGTGTCATTTTCAACAATTCCTCTTCTGTGTTTTTTCTCAACATCATATACATTGAAATTAATACCATGGGGGCAACACCAGGTATCCTACTTCTGCCTGTTGCTGTCATCATCCAACGCTCTGCTTAATGCTCCCATCCCTCACCTTGTCCAAGAAAGACTGCAGCACCAGGCTCATAAGGGTTTTCATCTATGTCTTACTCCTGGAACCATAAGTAGTTACTTCAACATATTTAAATGCAACTAAGGCAACAATCCTGGCCTCTCAGTTTGTTAAATTCCTCATTTCTAAGCAGCTTCCCTTTCAGCCAACCTCTGGCTATGCATACACTACCAACCATCAGTAAATGTAAACCTTGATTTCTTTATTCCATTCTCTGATGATTGCTTCTTCTCCTATGGCTCATAAACTTTAACTATCCTTCTCCAATAATTTTTCATCCTCATTGACATACCTGATCTTTCCACTATTGATTTTTCTTGCCCTTCTTCTCTCCTCATGTCTTTACATTTTTCTTTGCCAGATTAGATAATATGAGCCAATATTATAACCATTTTTCTTTAACAATACTCAACTCTCTTACCTAACTACCTAACTACACTTTTCCTGTACTAGACTAATAAGGCAAGGAAAGAACACACACAGCGTGTTACTGGCCTATTTTTGAGTTCATGGACACTCTCTAATTGGCATTCTATACTGCCCTTAAGTTCTATTGTACTTCTCCAATATGTGTGCTTTCCTTGTCTTTAATTATATTTTACATATGGTGTGTTGTCCTCACACTGTCAAAATTTGGTTCCTACTCTTCATTCTCAAAATTGTGATCTTGCATCTTACCTCATTGAGAAATTAGAACAGAAACAACTCCTCATATTCCTTTCAACACATCTACCAATGTGAGGCCTGTACACAGGCTCTCTACTTGGCTCCAACATCAGTGGCCTTAGCGTTTATTTTGGGGCAGCTCTTCTTCTCAGGCCATAGATTCTAATCACACTCACCTTGTCAACGTTGTCAAGAAAACATACTTTGAGTACAAGATAAACAAAGAATTATTGCAGGGGAAATGTACATGCATAATGCTGACTTAAAACCACTTGGAGGAGTCAAAGCTGACTGCTAAAGATATGCCTTTTATTAATGGAAAATACAGAAGCTTATGGGAGGAAGTCCACAGGCTCAGTTTTGGCTATGTTTAATTCAAAGTGAAAAAGAACACTCAGGTGAAGAAGTAATTAGGCTTTTGAGTTTAAGAATGAAGTCTCGGTGGGAGCTATAAATTGGAAGTTGTAGAGATGCTTAGATCAGAGTGGGTTAGATCATTAGCAACATAAACATCGCTAGGACAGAATCCAAGGAATGTTAATGTTTAAAAAGTGGGTAGAGCATTCTATGAACTGACATGGAGTCAGATGTGAAGCTGACATTGAAATAGGACTCAGAAAATATTGTGTTTGGAAATCAGATTTAAAAAAAGTTTCAAAGAAAGGGGAATAGTCCCATGTGTTAATGCTACTAAGACATTAAGTAAATGAGAACTCAAACGTGCCTGTTAAAGTCATTGTATATCATTGATTGTCTTGACTAGAGCTCTTTTGAGGGTGGAGTGTTGGACAGAGGGTGGAATCCAGAAATAAAAGTGTCAAAGAATAAGGTGATGGTGAAATGCACAGAACAGTTTTGAAAAACTGTGAAGGGCAGAGAGTTGGAAGTAAGGTGCTGGAATGTTGTATCCAGTGCTGGTAATAGATTTCTTTTTATTACCAAGGTGATTAATTTGTTGACACAAAGTAGGATGAACTGCCTTGGGAAGTGATACTAGCACATTTCACTGCCTAGGTGCATGTGTGCCATTTGCAAAAACAACTGGAAGCCATGTCACAGGAAGTCTGTAATGAGGTTAGCAGAAATGCCAGAGTAGATGTAGCCTGGTTGTTGGCTTCAGACTCTGGGGGACTTCCCATGGAAGAGGGAGGGGACTCACCATGAGCTGCTCCAGGAGGGAAGAGGGGAGGAGCCCTGATAAGATGGATGGAGGTTACCAGGAGGCAGATTTGGATTTATTCTAAGTACAAGTATCTTAGGGGACTCTGGTCACTCCGATGGTCCCCAGAGAATGAACACTGCTATATGCTAAAGAATACTGGGGGCAAGTAGGATGGCCTGCCAGCCTTTCCTTATGTCCCCTTTTGCTTGTCTCTGTCTCTTCACTGAATCAGCTGCACTTGCTCCTGCTGGGTTTGCAGCAGACTCGACACAAGGGAATTTGTGTTCTTTCCATTAGTTTAAGATTAGAAAAAGGCCCATTTCTCTTTCATTTAAATTACAAAAGCATTACTTACTCACTGTAAGCAGGGAAGACATATAAGATGTAAAAGGAGAAATGAATTGTATCCTATGACTCCTTGTTCATTTGTATCTTCCTGATATAAACAGAATTAATAGACTAGTAACTATCATTTTCTAAATCCACCCATTTTCACTAAAGCATATCCAAGCTCACACTCATAAAAGGATTTATGTAGATAGTATCTTATTATTGGCTTTTACAAAATTGAGATTCAATCATACGTATTATTATTAAATTGGATTTTTTAATAATTTATTTTTTGGTAGTTTTTCCATTATCATTTATCCCCCTTATATCCTCTTCCACCTCCTCCTACCCTCCTCTTCCCCACAATCACCACGCTGCCCCCCAGTTAGATATAACACATTTAAATAATGGTATATATTTCGTTCATGAGCAGTTGGTAGTACAGTTCCTATAACCACTTGCTTATTTATTGGTAGTCCAATTATTTTCTATTTTTCCCTATACAAATAATTTTGTGATAAATATTTTTGTCATGTATCTCTACATACTAGTGAGTTTATTGGTATAAGATTACTCCCAAAGATTATATTATTAGATCAAAGAATAAACAGGCATGCAGCCGGCATGCATACATACAAATAGTAGGATATTGTCAAATTTCTTATGTTTATTATTTTCAATTGTTTTCAAGTCTAGAAAGAAGATGCTGAGATTTTTCATGAACTTGAATATTAAACTAATGCCAAATCACACAGACTTTCCAAAATGAATAAGCTTACAAAGCCCACAAATCTCATTCTAAGATATTTGTAGTCTCACATCTTTTTTTTTTTTTTTATATATTTTTTTTTTTTTATTAATTTATTTACTTTTTAAATACATTTGTCTCTGCCTTCCCCCCCCCTTTCCCTTGCCCCCTCCCACCTTCCCTCCCTCAGCTCTTCCCCTTTGGTTTTGTCCATGAGTCCTTGCTATATGTTCCTTGACTTTCCTCTTCCCTTCCCTTTCCCTGCCCCCCCTTCCCTCTTGTCTCTGTTGATTTCTTTTCCTTTCAGTGTTGCTGGCCATATTTGCCTTGCTTCTTTGCATTGTTGGTTAGGTTCCGCTTATAGGTGAGATCATATGGTATTTGTCTTTCGCCCCCTGGCTTATTTCGCTTAGCATGATGCTCTCCAGTTCCATCCATGCTGTTGCGAAGTTTAGTACTTCTTTTTTTCTTTCTGCTACGTAGTATTCCATTGTGTATATGTACCATAATTTTTTGATCCAATCATCTAC